TAACACCTCCACACATCATTCCCGACTCCCGTGGTTCACGTGTAAACCCAAACGCTTACATATAAAGCACGCCGAGTAGTACCAAGCTACATGGGTGCGCATACTGTAATACAATATATTAGTCTCATATTTATGTCCACATTCCTCGGTCACTCTCCTGCAGTCACCCCCTCTCTCCCAGCCCCTCCTCCTCACCCCACCCTTACTCATACTCTCCCACAGCGCACTAAACTAAGGGAGTCTCCCACCATAATCTACTCCATTACCTTGCCTGAGTTGGGCTGTAGTGGTCCCACCTCCCACATCAAAATTTCCCTCCCACCAACTAGGATGCGGAGAGCCAACAACAACAGTGGTGACGAACGCTCCTTCCACTCTAGGCACCAAGGTTTTTTTTCCCATTTCCTAATTCTCATTTGTTTATATTCTCTTCGTGTGTCTAATCTTTAACCAAGAGTAAGTTTTGAACACAAACACTCTGAATATTACATTTGATACTGGTTATTGTTGCTGTTATTGAGATGTTATTGTTATGGGAATTACTAATTATTACTACTTCTACAGCCAGGTGACACTCACCACTACCGCCTCCTCCTCCAGCCAGGTGACACCACTACCTCCTCCTCCAGCCAGGTGACACACCATTATGGCTGTACATGTAAGAAGCTCAGGAACCTGATGGACAACAGATGACTGAAGGTGGAAAGGATTGACCAAAGTGCAGAAGCTTAACCTGGAAACATCAGGTGAGCACACACACACACACGGGAGAACGTACATATTATTCGGGGGAAAAAGGCGGGTCCAAAGAGCCAAAGCTCAACCCCCGCCAGCACAATTAGGTGAGTACATAAACGAGAGCAGGCATACACAAGCACACATACAAACTCACATAACTCCAAGTTCACAACGTAATTACCTTTTTCCTTCTTAAATTCCTACTCTTATTATTTTACATTCCGGAACAGGGATAGTAGACTAATTAAGTTTACCGTCTGGGAAGGTTACAAAGTTTCCTGTACGCGCCCGACCCCCTAAGCCGCATTTTTCCCATCATGAAACACCTGTTGAATTATGTATACTCCTGTATACTACCTGTAAATATGCTTATATATATTATATATATACACACACTACTTTTCCCTGATTACCCATGATTACCCAACTGGGATCCAGACTGTACAACGACTGACCAGTCGTGTTCTGGGATAAACACAGTGACGAATAATGTAACTGGTTCCACTAAGGCCTAAATACCACCATAAAAATAAGCCATATTCTCAATTTAAATAATTAACATTTTGTTCATAATCATTAAATAACAGTCTTATCAATTCCACATTCAACATAAACAAAAACATTGTCACCAATTTTAACTTCCTTATACACACATTATGCCTATACTGTACTTGTTTTAGGCCTCTTTTGTTGACAAAGAAAAACACCACACAATAAGCAAGGTTCTTACAACTCACTGGTCTTCTTCAACTGGTCCATGTATTCTGCAACTACCCACCTTAAATGAGAGAAGGAAAAGAAAGTGGGAGGGGAAGAGAGAGGAAAGGAATGAAGGGAGGAGAGGGGGAAAGGAATGAAGGGAGGAGAGGGGGAAAGGAATGAAGGGAGGAGAGTTGAAAGGAATGAAGAGAATGAGGGGAAAGAAGAAGGGGGGGGGGGGAGAGAGAGTCAGATGGTCTTCACCACACCACATTCATTTCTCTAGGTAACACCACTTTTTACGAAGGTCTCCGAGAACGAGTGTATTACTGACTGTACACAGGCCAGTCGAATTTCCACATTGAATGTTCATACTTATGACTCATCTTGCAATGCAAACACATGTAGGATATGAACACGGAACATACCAACATGTGAAACAGAAGCTCTATTGGCCCAGATGAGGTGGCTCCTATCTCTATCCTTCCAAATTCCTTCACATATGTGTATACTATGGGTGAAACAATCTATCAATCCATCTACATAATCTTGGGTCTGTGTATACAGAATACCAAGTAATATCTGTATACCAGGCAGGTATACAGAATAATTTTGTTTGTAATATTCTCTATGTCACTGATGCACAAGACAAAAAGGGTTGGCACAAACATGGAATCCTGTGTTACCCCCCCCCCTCACCATATTTCTCCAGTCAAACTCCTTTCCATTTCAGAAGACCCTTTGCTTTCTGATTTAACCATTATTTCATCCATTCTAGTATTCTGCCATTTATTCCATATGCTTGTAATTTCCTTATCAGTTTTTCATGCGATACCTTATCAAAAGCTTGAGAGAAGTCCATGTATACTACATCTACTACAAGGTAGGATTTGTTTTCAACAAATCCATGTTGCATTAACTTTACTAGGTTGTGCACAGTAAGATGGTGAATGATTTCCTCCCTTGGGAGTCTCTCCATGTAAGCAGTCCTTTTGATTTAATACATCACATTTTGACGTCAAAATCCTCAACAGACAAAATGTGTACTGTGAATTATTAAATCAGAGCAGCTCACAAACAACCACATTTTTGTATGCATGGTTCCATTGGGTAGGTTTGTACAGAACTTAGTACAGAATTTTTGTAACAGTGTGTTAACTCAAGACGTGGGCTGCTCCTTGAACTTGAGGATATGTGAAGTCAGACTGATAGGGCAATAGTTTACTTCCAAGATGCTTCTGCCATTTTTTTTAAATAGATTTGAAATTTACACATTTCCAATCTAAGGGAGCTATCCTTTGGTCTAGAGATTTTCTGAAAGTTCCAGTGGCAGACATAGCTACACAAAGTATATTACAACTACTTTAGCATAAGGGAAGTGAAAATGTGAAACGAACTAGTGAGGTATCAGATTATATACAGTACTGTACTTACAAGGAAATTACTGGAGGGTCTTCAGTGCCCTGAATTTACACAGTAAGATAACAAAAAATAACAAAATACTAGAGTGAACAATAAGGAAGAAAATTCTGAAGAGAGCCAGTGAAGAGTAGAGGTGCATAGGCAGAATCAGAGAAAAATGTATGAACATCAGAGGTCCACAATTGATCAATATCTTCCAAGCATGTACTGGCATAAGAAATATTGCCAGAACAAAAAGTGGATGTCTTCAAGAAAAAACTGGACAGTTTTCTGCAAGAACTGCCCGACCATCCAGGCAATAGTGGATATGTGGACTTGAGGGCTGCTCCAAGCAACAGCCACTGGACCAAGCTCTCACAAGTCATAACCTGGTCCTGGTCCAGACTTGTGGGAGTAGAAGAAAGGTCAACATTTAGTGACAAAACTCATTCCATAACTAATTTGACTCTCATACCAGGAACAGATGAGGGCCAAAGGGCTAACAACACAGCAAACCGGACATGACAGGGCCGATCTCATCGAAACTTTTAAAATGCTATACTAAACAATTTGGGAGATACTAATCTAGACAATGTCTTCAACAGGTCAGATGTAACACAAACAAGGAGAAATGGTTACATGTTCAACAAGCTACAATGTAGGACAGAAAACAGGAGATTCTTTTTTACTCAGTTATTTTATTACTTTATTTATATATACAAGAGTTCTTAAATCTTGTAAAGCCACTAGTCCCTGTGGCAGTCCCCATGGCAAAGTGATAAGACACTCTCCTTGCGCATTGCGAGCGTTTTGTCCTAAGTTCGTATCCTGGCTGTAAATCCTTAATTGTAGCCTCTGTTTAACCCAACAGTAAAACGAGTACCTGGTTGTTAAATGATTTGGTGGGGGTCGTATTCCAGGGAACATTGGATTAAAGACTTGCCCGAAATGCTATGCGTGCTAGTGACAGTACAAGAATGTAAGAACTCTTTTGTGTGTGTGGATTATTATATATATATATTTATTTATTTTTTTTTAGATATATACAAGAACACCACGGAGACTGGTAGATATATATATATATATATAAATATATATATATATATATATATATATATATATATATATATATAATATTATATATATAAATATATAAAATATATATATAGCACACATAGTGTTTCGAGCAGGTCCTTAATCTTAAGGGCAGTACAGGACAGTTATAAGTTGAGCAGAATTTCTGATCTAAATGCTGTGTTAGTGGCTTTTCAAGAATGTATAAAGTCCAATATTATGTAATCTCACAAACCCATTGTACCCTCTTGTAAATAATAATAATAATAATAATAATAATAATAGTAATTATTATTATTAGTATTATAAACCCATGGAACTGCCTACCCGCCGAAGCTGTAAATGCCAAAACACTGCTGAAATTTAAAATCGAGCTTGATAAAATCCTCAGGACAAATAATAGAGCCGTTGACAAGCCGCCGGGTTCCTGTCCTCGTCGAGGCCACTAGAGAGATAGAGTCCTTCAGGTAAATCTGGTACACCAATGTGTCCCCACCAGACCAGAAAGTATGACGCAACCTGAAGTGGCCGAGCACCACACCAGGCCTCGCTGCTCATAACATGCAATACGCAGCGTTTCAAACACAAGCTATAAATGAATAACTCACCTCGATCAAATTTCTTGCCATCAGGATCGATGTCCTTAACGTCGAAAATGTCCTCGAAGAGAATCCCAGCCATGCTGACAGGTTTTGGTGTGTTTACCCCGTGTTGTAGACGACACTCGTCGCCTCTAATTCACCCGATCCTCCGCCCCCTCATCACCTCTCACCAACGTCGAAAATGTTGGTGATTACTCTATGTAACTTACACTCACACACATTCACACACATATATATATACTAATATCCCACTTTAATTTTATTAATGTATATTATTGGGTTCTGTTTCTTTATGAACTCGGTTTGAGTAGTATATGAGAAGTTATTATCTTAGGCCATTTTAGAAGGAGGTGCTTGACGGGTAAACATCAGAGTAGCTCGGGCCTGCTTTAAGGTAATTTCTTGACTAATTTACTGTGTAACAGCTTAGTCGTTTGGTGGCCCTCAGAGGATATAAGGACTCATTATTAATGTCTCAAGAACAAACTTAATGAGTGTTAATTATGTAACGTTTTAGTGAGGCAACTGACGTGAGGCACGGGTACCCGGTGACAAGGGCACTAAAGGGCACTTAAGTTGTCAAGGATGATTTAGACTGCTGTACACCTGTTAAGTCCAGCCATCATTGTAAGGATCTGTACAAGTTGTTACAAGGGAAGTGTGTGATTCTGTTAATGACAATGTCTAAGTGCTATGCTGCTATTGTGACTCACCCTTACATAATTAATTAAATTTGTTAGGGACATGCAGCCTGGGTGCATGTATAATATATAATATTACAGTGGAACCTCGGTTTTTTGTATGCCCCTGGTTACATATTTTTCAGTACTCGAACTCGATTTCTTTGAAAAATTTGATTCGGTACTCGTTTGCCTCAGTGTTTTATACACACACGGGTATACCGAGCACATGGTGCTTCAGTTTACCAGTGTCTCCCGCCTAGTGATGATCGAACTTGAATTCTTTTTGAAGAATTTCAGTGTTCTTGGGCTTTTTTTGTTTTTTGAGCATAAAAGTTCTTACTATATATCATATCATTGGTTCCAAGAAAGTCAGTAGTAATGTTCAACCAAAAAAAAAAAATAGTTGTGAGGATGACAATAGAGGAAAGACAAGAGATCATTGATAGTGTGTCACACTACAAACAAATGTTAAAATGTAGGGAAAAACAAGTGTCTATAGACAGATTCTTAGTAAGACAAGCAAGCAATGAGACTCAACCAGGTCCTAGTGGTATGCCTGCAAAACATTAGAGAGCGAGTATCCCAGAAATGTCATCACTGCTGTTATAATGCAAGGTGACTCCCCTTCCAAATTCTAACACCTCTCCTTCTCCCCCCCCCCCCTTCCTCACTGTCTTACATAGGCCAGCAAGAGTCATAAATAAAGGTAAGGTACCTAAGAGTATTATTTTGTATAAAATGTATTTTTTAGTTAATATGTTTGGGGGTATGGAACGGATTAATTCAATTTACATTATTTCCTAAGGGAAAATTTGTTTCGGTTCTCGTACTGTCTATTAGAATGGATTAAATTCGAAATCTGAGGTACCACTGTATATTAAAAGGTTATACAGCCTGATTCTTTACAAGGGCATTTCTTGCATTGAGGCTCTCATTACTTTTGATGGATTTCGATGCAGAATGCAGACTTACTATACCTGTAATTTGTATTTTATATCAATATACAGTACGGTAATTATATTTCTACTCCTGATCTTTCCATATGCTGTCCATGATTTTCTCAAAACTATTTACTGTGATTCTGTGCTTATTACATACACAGGTTAGGTTATTCCAGTAATTTGCTACCTTGTTTCAAAAATAAATATGAGAGAATTATTATAATTTATATTATAAATTATAATAGTTCTCTCATATTTATGTAATTATGAGATAGTATGTACCGTACTTACAAATTATCTTTTGTGTAATACATTTGTAAACAGTGAAGTATTTATTGTCAAAGAATAGTGTCTTTGAAGGTCGTCCCGATGGCTTTGCTATATTCAAAATGCTGCATGAGTAAATTGTAATACAGACCATTATTTGTTACTGTATCTTTTTTTTCAGTTTAATTTGTAGAAATTGCAGTTAGAAAAATGATGGCAGCTCTTCCTCCACGCAAAAATCCAACTCCGACTAAAATATTGAAGCAACATTTAACACCTCTTCAGATCCTTTTACAGATGGGGTTTCCTAAGCACAGAGCGTAAGTTTATTGCCACAGTATTGAACTTATTCTAATTGAACTGTAATAATGTAATGTATTACATTTGCATATTTTTAGGTATCATTGAGAGTATTTAATTTAGAATGGATTATAGCTAGGAATTCATAATAACCATAAGAGGATTCTTTCATAAGCATTTTGTATATGTCATGCTTGCTTATCCTTTTTGTCTGCTGTTGCAGCTTTCATATCCTTATTTACTCTTACAGGGAAAAGGCACTAGCAGCAACTGGTCATCGAGGCGTTCAATTAGCATCTGATTGGTTACTTGCACATGTTAATGACACAACCTTGGATCTTGACTGTCCTAGAGAATATGTGGTATACATGTGTCCTACAGGTCCCCTGCAAGAACAGATACAAAATTTTTGGGAAGAGTCACTCCAAAAATGTGGCTGGAACGGAGCACATAATTTGGTACCACACATTACCCTCTGCTCATTTTTTAAAGTGAGTTGGTGTTGTGTAATTATTTGCAATTACAGGAAGGGAGCTATGTTCATAGTGTCCTATATAACAGTACTGTATGATACATTATGCTTTCTATTCAGTTTCAGTAATTTATTATTATGACTTTTTTTTCTGGGGGAGTTCCCTTGTGGCTCCCGGAAGCTATCTCACTGAGATGACTCCATTCTAATTGGTCACATCAGTCACAGGAGCTATGTTTGGTGTACTATGAACCAGAGCCAGAACATGGCTCTCCTTTACAGAGGTGCAGGGAGCGAGTGACAATCCACCACCCCACCAGGGAAAGCATCCAGAAAGTCAGCAAAGCTTTACACACAACTATAAGGTTCATAGAAAATGAAGCCTTGAAGTTCCCAAACAACTCTACAAAAAATTCATTTGAAACAATAGATTCACTCAAAACTTGCTAGAACCCATTAGTATCGATAGCTGCCACCATGCAACCTGGCCTCAGCACCACAGCTAACTCCCCAGCTCAGTTCTGTCACTGATGTTATGGTAGTTACTGCTATCTTACTGCTACTTTGCTAAAATCAGCAAATAAAATTATGGAACTACTAACACAGAAATGCAAAGAAGCAACCATTCATACCTCAGGAGGGAAGTGGACGAAAGGAGAACGGTAAACCCATGGTTCAACAGAAAGTGTGAGGAGGAAAAGAAGCCCAAAAAATACATGGAAGAAGTATAGGGACATGGGTGCAGGGGCAAATAAGGAGGTACTAAAGAGGGACAGGAATGAATATTCAAGAATCAGGAGGGTAGCAGTTTGAGAATGAAATTGCAGCAAAGGCATGAGCCAGCATAAACTGTATATGGCAATACTGTATATGAAGGAAAACAATGGTACGAGACCATGTGATTAGACTGCAGGTACAGGGAAGAACACCTATGGAAAATTATAAAGAAGTATATGAAGAACTCAACAGGAGGTTCCAGGAGGTCTTCAAAAAAGAACCAGATTGGTGTCCAAGTAGGAGTGACAACAGACAATGGGAAAGAACACTAGGTAGAATTGAAATTAATGTAAAAGAGGTACTGTATAAAGATACCTGGAAAGATTGTGTGTTACCCATTAACTGTAATGTTCAACATTACACTGGAGACAAAGGAGCTACAGAAAATCTGGAAAAAAAATCAAATGTAATTCCAATATTCAAGAATTGGGACAAACATGAAGCAGTAAACTATAGACTAGTGTCATTAATGTTCATTCAATGCAAAATTCTAGAAAAGTCATCTGGAAAAGGAGTGTAAAAAATTTAGGGAGTAAATTTTTAATAGAGGCACAACATGGCTTCAGAGAGGGAAAATTCTGCTTAACAAACTTGATTGAATTTGAACTTGGTGACAGGGTCACCAAAATAAGACAAGAAAGGGAAAGATGAGTAGACTGCATTTGTCTAGACTCCCGAAAAGCTATCAATACATTTCCTCTCAAACGACTAATATACAAAATGGAGAGACAAGGAGGGATAACAGGAAAGGTTATCCTCATATCCATTAGTTGTGTGTAAATGGCTAGGAGGCAGGGCATAAAAAGCTAGATTTCACTTCCCTGTAGTCACTGATAGGTAAACCGGTAAAAACTATTTAGTCTGGGACACGGAGTACAGAACAATATTCTGGATAAACTTATTTAAAATAAAGTCTAGCTCAAGATACTTAAATGTATTACTGTTGCTCTACTTCACATTGTGCCAAAGACTTTCTCCAATTAGCCTCTAGTATCTAGTACATGTGCACTAGGAAGCTGGAAAAAAAAAGGACTTGTTAGCAAGTGATAATGTGCACAAATGTAATGTAAAAGAGGTACAGTATAGAGATACCTGCAAATATTGTGTGTGTGTTGAGGGGGGGGGGGAGAATAGTACAGTAGTTAGTAATGGATGGTTGATTGACAATTGAGAAGCGGGCCGAAAGAGCAGAGCTCAACCCCCGCAAGCACAATTAGGAGAATACAAAGAATGAAATTGCAAATCAAAGACTTTTTTTTTATAACTCCTTCTGCATAAGCTTCACTGACAACCACAGTTGCATTAACTGATGTCATTGATTTTTCTTGTAAGACCAGATGGCCATCCTCCATCATCAATCCTAATGTTTACCTTGTGTTGTAGGAATTGTAATACAGGGATGGTTGGTGTTTGGAATTGTGGACGAGTATATGTGACTGCCAAGACAAGACAAGATTAACTAATTAATGAGAAAATAAGGAAATTCATTCAGAATGCAGACTATAAAATTTTACCAGACCAAAATAATTTCAGGGATAAAAGAGGAAATAAGGAAGTCAATGCAAAAAAATATAGATATATTTATATGTGACCATATTCATATAAGGTATGTGTGTAGCATTTATTACTATGCTATATTTCTAACCCTAAGCATTCCTTGCAGTCTGGTGATGAAAACTGTGAAGCCCTAGTCTCGGCACTGAAGGATGTTGTACATAGCATTATGCCCTCCCTCCCCTCCAGTCTAACCCTCGACAAATATATATCACCCAACTACATGGGTCTATTTTTAAATGACCAGCAGGCAGATGTTCTTAAGAAACTTGCCGTTACTTATATAAAGGAAGTATCTCACATGTGTAAGTACGCAGTTGTGTATATTTTATTCTTTATTTTATATTACACTTCTTAAGGATTGCAACAGCTCATTTAAAGCCTTTGATTATTTAGAATGAACATTAACAACTTTTTGCCATTATTTTGTAAATTTATTATACTATACCGTATAATGCATTGATTAGCTGAATGTCTTTAATACTGCATTATTTATTTTTTAATAAAACAAGCAAGGCAGCTGCTCTGGAAGGAGCATCAACAAGAAGTCTGTCTTTAGTTTTCAATTACAAGTTTGTACTGCTAATTGCTGGTATTTGCCTTTCTTGTTTAACAAAGTTGAAGCTGGGTGTTACGACAAACTGGAGGTGATGGCAGCATGTCTGCCATGGTGCACAGGAACAACTTTGACTCAAGAATACTGTAAGCAGGATATGCCCAAAGGGAATGAAGAGTTATTATTTTTGTTGTGGCTTTGTTTGCAGAAATTCTTTGTTCTACATTTTTTTGTGCAAAATTTGGCATGTTTTTTACACAAAAACCTCACCTCTTTGATTAGAGTTATTATTTTGTAAAAGAAACAGTTTGTTCTTTTGCTTGTTTTTATGACTTTTATTTGCATGGGCCATCTTGAAATAATGCATTTAAAATATTAATCAAATGCCTACTAATACACTAGTGATGTCATTTACAAGTTAGTAAATCTTTGCAGAGCACAGTGAGGCACTTAAAAGTGATCTTATAATTTATTTGATTAAGATCAAGTCATTTCATGGATTCGGTATCCTTGAAAATGAAGAATTACAAATATAGTTTATAAACAGTAATGGAAATGAGCAGAATAGAAAAGGGATAAATTTTTCCTCTGTATATAAGAGTCTACAGATGGTGACAAATTCATAGCCAAAAAGGAAGCTTAGTAAGCAACCATAAATATGAAAGTATGCTGGCTACAAAACTTGTATATTCAAATAACTGTAGCCATTTCAAGGTGGTCAGCAGTTCAGTTCAATTTAGTATGGATATACCCATGGGGTTGGGGGATGTAAAAGCAGATAAGACAGATGAATAATTAAGGCTTTAATTATTGGTGAGCTTTGGAAACACTGTAATAGGTCTGCATGAAAGGATGAAAATAAAAATACTGTAGTATCAGTCTGTAAAGGTTTATTTGAGTACTCTATTTATTGCAAATAATTTATTTGTGTGTAATTTGTTTCTCAAAGTGGCAGGGAAGATGTTTTCTCTGGAGGAACCACTGGTGGCTCCCTGAAACTGTCTCCCTGAGATGGATTCCCACTACTGAGGATCAGAGGCAAAACTTGGCACCCCTTACAGAGGCACGGGAAGCTGGGGATTATTACAGTCACCCACACCGAGAAAGCATCCAGAATGTAAGCGAAGCAATACAAACACCTGCAGAGTTCACAAGGAGCTAAGCACCAAAACAGCCAAATGATTCCACAAATGAATCATTCAACCTAAATGTTTCACTTGAAAGTAGCTCTAGCTCCTTAGTGCAAATGGCCACCAAGAGGTGGCATCCCAGGAGTTAGCAGTAGTCATGCAGTTAGGGTACAGTAGGTTAAAACCTGGCTAACCACTTGGGTTAGCCAGGTATTTCAGGCAGATTACTGGATGATGTCACTTGACCTCAAGGATGCATACTGGCATGTTCCTATTCACCAGGACTGGTTAGGGTTTCTGGTGGAGCATCAGGCTTACCACTTCAAGGTTCTACCCCTCGTCTTGAATCTGGCTCTTTGTATCTTTACCGCCATCAAGGGTACCATCTGTTGGTGGTCATTCGTGCTAATGGGTTCAAACTAGTTTCTGGTAAATCAGTTTGACTTATTGAGTTTGAATAAATCATTTGTTAATTTGTTTGGCTGCTTTGGTGCTTCATTTTCTTTGAACCTTGCAGTTGCCTATTTCTGAGCTCACTTTCTGGATGCTTTCTCGGTGAGGAGGGGTGATTATAACAAATCCCAGCTCACTGTGCCTCTGTGAGGGACCAGGTTCTGGCTCTGGTTCCCAGTAGGCCATACACAACTTCTATGGCTAATGTGATTCAGTAGGCAGAAGCCATCTCAACAAGATAGCTTCAGGAGTCTCTGAGGCTTTACCAGAACGAGACATTTCATTATATTCAATGCTGTTTTTTGTTTTGGTTTTTTGTTATATTTTGCAGGAGTACTGTGTATGTTAATTATAATAAGTGAATTTCATACCTGCAAAATAATGCGGTATGTATACTTTACACCTGCAATACAATGAGGTGGGTATATTTCATACCTACAAAATAATGTTAGGACAGTTTAATCATTTCTGGCAATATTCTTTTCACTTGTTTGGTGAATTGAATGTTAAGTTCACTGTGCATAAAGAGCTAATGAAAATTATTTTCATTCAGCCATATTATTTAGGCTTATTAAATATTTCAGGTAGGAGGCTGGGTGGCTTTGGTCACCCATGGAAGCACTACCATGGGAGAGGTAAAGGGGATGTCCTTTCTCATTTTTTTCCTTTCTGTTTTGACCATGTTTATTTTTCAACACAACTTGATTGTCTGTCAGATTTTCTTAATTCCACATTGTCTTTTCATTGAATGTTTTAATCTTGTTCTTTTTCACTTATTATTTTTCCTGCTTATGCCTATGTCTTTTGCTATTTCATTCTCCCAACTCTCCTGCTTGTGTATGCTTATTGAGGTTCCTCACATTCTTGCTTCTCTGTGCAAGCAGGTGGCGACTGCTTCACTTGTGGATTAACCAAACCAGCATGAAGGAATTTTCAGTTTATGTATCAAGTAATTATGGAAGGTATGAAGCTGGTTAGTAGCAGAAACATTATGGGGGGAAGCAAAGTATCATAAGGGGGATAGTTTTCCTAATATTTGTGCATTTCTATTTCTGCATCATTTTATGTGCATACTTGGTGACAGTCCAACCCGTCTTCCTAATAGAATGTTACATTTTGGCGTATACTCTACATAAGGCCAAAAATTGTCGTTCTAGAAAATGGTAGCGGCTCACAAAATTTACATACTGTCCCATTTTCTGTTTTTGGTCTTCAGGTAGGTAAGGATAAGGAACCTTACTACGACAGTTTCTTGACGTTTGTAATCATAGAAGGACAGGCTGGACAATCATCATATACAGATATCTAGCAAATACTCTACCTGACACTACATTTGTTTAACATTGTAAGGAGCAAGAATGATCAGTGATGGAAATGCTTGGGAAATGTTTTTAAAGTAAATGTCTTAATAGAAATGAAACAATAAGAATTGCAGAAGAAATGAGGCAAGGATTTCAGCAAGGTTCCAGAAGAACTGAGACAATATGGATTCCAGAAGGATGGCAACTATGAATTCTAGAAGGACTGAAACTATGGATTCCAGAAGGACTGAGACTGTGATTTCCAGAAGGACTGAGACAATAAGGATTCCAGAAGGACTGAGACAGTAAGGATTCCAGAAGGACTGAGACAGTAAGGATTCCAGAAGGACTGAGACAATAAGGATTCCAGAAGGACTGAGACAATAAGGATTCCAGAAGGACTGAGACAATAAGGATTCCAGAAGGACTGAGACAATAAGGATTCCAGATGGACTGAGACAGTAAGGATTCCAGAAGGACTGAGACTGTGATTTCCAGAAGGACTGAGACAATAAGGATTCCAGAAGGACTGAGACAGTAAGGATTCCAGAAGGACTGAGACAATAAGGATTCCAGAAGGACTGAGACAATAAGGATTCCAGTAGAACTGAGACAATAAGGATTCCAGAAGGACTGAGACAATAAGGATTCCAGAAGGACTGAGACAATAAGGATTCCAGTAGAACTGAGACAATAAGGATTCCAGACAGACTGAGACTATAGATTTCATAAGAAGTGAGATAACAATTCCAGAAGAAAATGGACAATAATGATTCCAAAATAAATGGATGATAAGGATTCCAGAAGAAATGGCCAATAATGATTCCAGAGGAAATAACCAATAATGATTCTAGAAGAAATGGGCAATAAGGATTCCAGAAGAAAGGGGATGATTGTGGTTAAGAAAGAAATGTGACAATAAGGATTCCAGAAGAAATAAAATGAAACATATTAGGATTAAAGAGAACTTCTTTTTATCTGAAGAAGCATCACACAGCCACCAGCCACTGCTGAGGGTAACTTCCATGGTATAAGTCACACAGTACTGAATGTATTGTCCAGAAATTGTTTCAAAATGAATCACCTCTTGCTGCTTAGTTATTAGTACCATCAAATTCCATATAAGTTCATAAGATATTTTAATTAATAATTTAATTAAAATAATAATAAAATTAATTAATTTAATGAGTCTATAGACTTGTACAAGAAATGGGGATAATTTAGAAAGACAAGGATGCAATAGGCAGAGCAGAAGTATGGTTATAGGCAGCTGTTAAATTTAGAAATATGCCGTCGGCAGCAGATGTATGGAATCATTTGTAGATCAGCTGAGAATGATTTGTAAAAAATTCAAAATAAAGCTGCATAAAATGAAAAGTGTTCTGACATTAAAATAAAGAAATGTCTTTCTTGTTTATTATGACATGATAAATTTTAGAAAGCCAAGCTAAAAACATTTAAAACATTTTTAATGAATTGGAGAAAAGAATTCTGTAATTCATAAATGTAAATTATTTTGGTGACTAAATTTTCTAATGGAAATTACAAAGAGTTAAAAGACACTTTGCACAAATTGAAAAAAATGGAACTATAAATAAACATCAGTCATTCACAGTGAAAACCAAAAACTAATACTTTATTACTACTTTTCTCATTGTCATGGGGTGGTGAGGCATTTGCTTGGATATGATGAGAGAGTGTTTTAGGAAATAAAGATTCAAGATATTGAGTACCACTTGTTATTTCATAATACCCTCCAAACTTGATAGCGCTACAAGCTACAAGTACAGTCACATCAAGAAGCAGAATTTCTGCCATTTCATGGACTATACTTCATATGTTATGCTAGGTACCATATGTATGCTCAACCCTGCCTTATCCTAAATACTTTCAGCATTTAAGATATCTTTTAGCTTTAAATGCTAAATCCAAGATATTTGGATGCTTTCTTCAAAAGTGTTTATTGGCCGTAGTTAAGTGTGGATAATGTATGTTTCTTGGACTAATGGGTATTGGCCTTGAAAGGTTAGGTGGGTCATTATAAATTCTGCCACTTTTGTCATTGTGAAACTAAACATTTCAGTGCTTCCAGTGGAAGCACTGAAATGTTTAAGCAATGTTAACCATCAACAGTTAAGCAATGTTAACCATCAACAGTTAAGCAATGTTAACCATCAACAGTTAAGCAATGTTAACCATCAACAGTTAAGCAATGTTAACCATCAACAGTTAAGCAATGTTAACCATCAACAGTTAAGCAATGTTAACCATCAACAGTTAAGCAATGTTAACCATCAACAGTTAAGCAATGTTAACCATCAACAGTTAAGCATTGTTAACCATCAACAGTTAAGCAATGTTAACCATCAACAGTTAAGCAATGTTAACCATCAACAGTTAAGCAATGTTAACCATCAACAGTTAAGCAATGTTAACCATCAACAGTTAAGCAATGTTAACCATCAACAGTTAAGCATTGTTAACCATCAACAGTTAAGCATTGTTAACCATCAACAGTTAAGCAATGTTAACCATCAACAGTTAAGCAATGTTAACCATCAACAGTTAAGCAATGTTAACCATCAACAGTTAAGCATTGTTAACCATCAACAGTTAAGCAATGTTAACCATCAACAGTTAAGCAATGTTAACCATCAACAGTTAAGCAATGTTAACCATCAACAGTTAAGCAATGTTAACCATCAACAGTTAAGCAATGTTAACCATCAACAGTTAAGCAATGTTAACCATCAACAGTTAAGCAATGTTAACCATCAGCAGTTAAGCAACGTTAACCATCAACAGTTAAGCAATGTTAACCATCAACAGTTAAGCAATGTTAACCATCAACAGTTAAGCATTGTTAACCATCAACAGTTAAGCATTGTTAACCATCAACAGTTAAGCATTGCTAACCATCAACAGTTAAGCATTGTTAACCATCATCAGTTAAGCATTGTTAACCATCAACAGTTAAACAATGTTACCCATCAATAGTTAAGCATTGTTAACCATCAACAGTTAAGCATTGTTAACCATCAACAGTTAAACAATGTTACCCATCAACAGTTAAGCAATGTTACCCATCAATAGTTAAGCAATGTTAACCATCAACATTCTCTTCTGACAATTGTTGATAGCCAGGTAACCTGTGGCACTACCACCAATGCTGCCTCAATTGATGGCTATCAATCCAGCTGCTGCCACACCAACTAAGACTGACACCCTCTCTCCTCAATCAGTAGTGGCCAGTTGTATTTGTTTTTATTCAGGCCTCTTGGCGTCTATCACTCCATAAAAGAAGGACGTAATGGTATGGGGGTTTGCGAGAGCTGGTGAGAGCCCGACATGGGCTGGAAGACATGCTTTTTTTTTTCTTTCTTTCTTTCTTTCTCTGCCGTACACGTGCAACCCACAACCACTCTTCTCCCTCAGTTTTTTCACAGTTTTTATGAATATATTTTATCTGCATTTCTCTTACACTTATATTTTTTCAATTGTTTTAACAAAGATACCTGGGGAAGGTTAACTAGTATTTTTTTTACCTAATAATTCATGTCAATTGCTATGTTCTAGTAATATTGAAAGAGGGCTGTCCATGTTCTGTTTAAGATTGTGCAATTATGCAAATGTTCTGACATAAACCCTTATTATCTGTTTTAGGAAAATCTGGGATTAATCCGAGATATTTGCTTCTCACCTCTCGGGAGTTTCACCTCTGATCTCTCCTCATTAAGTCTGTGACAGACTAAAATGTTGTAATTTTTTCTTATATAAAGTGTGTATTTAGTCTTCAACTTCTGAGACTGCACCTAAGCACTGTTCGTGCAGTATTTGTAGTATTTCTAACTAAAAATCTCTTAAGAATATTTGCTACTCTATTTATATTACAGTACATTAATAGTAAATATAATTTTTTTTTTAATTTCTCAATTGATTTATGTAAAATGTACCATTAGGAAGATTGTTCTACTGTATATTTTAAAGGGGGTCTGTACTCAGGGATTTAGGGATTGCTCTGTACCCTATTATAATTTATGTACTGCATTTTAATTTATTTTGCTAATAAGCTAGTATGGTATACAGCACTTCATTCTCAGTACTGGAGGAGTGAGAGAAAATATTTTTACTGAAAAAATAATTTGAGCAAGCTACTGAATTATTTTAAGCCCCCAAAATGCATGCAAAGTGTCATATAGGATGAAAACATTTTTCCTGGTGCTTTCTAGACAGTGCTAATAGATCAAAGTGAAACCTTCTGCTTAACAACCACCATAGCATTGCTCCCTAACTTAGCCAAATAAAAGTTTTTGACCTGCATGCTAAAATAATTTCATAATGTATTTACAGCTTCAGTCTCTTGATAATTTTTTGTTGTGGTAATAATTTAAATAGGTATGCTCTGGGTAACATGCACATGTAGAATTAGGCAAAGTCACTATAATACACAAGTCATACACAGATCTTGTACAAACACATTTATCACCAGTTTCCCAGTAAATGTCTTTGAAAGTGCAGCATGATTACTTGGTACTATATACAAAATTTTAAGTTAATGACTGCAGCATTCCTTCCTAGCTTAAAGGCACAAAACTAAACAGATGGCATTCGGTTTCAGAAAATTTTGAGTAAATATTATTTAAAGTATGAATTGTTTCAAACATTACCTATTCTTAGCATGTCAACTCGCATTAGTACATTTGTGTTAAGAATTTCTACTCTCAGCAGCGATGACACACAACAGTAGCTAACACATACAATTATTGTTTCAAGCAAACTATTGCACTTAGTTGTGTTCTTTTCTTAGTAAAAGTCCAAATATCAAGTTACATATGGGAAACCGAAACAGCACATGTAAAATAAATCCCTATACTTTTTATATTGATTTTGTTTTCTTTCTAACAGGCACCACAGGTGAAGCAGCAACAAAAGCGTTACACCTAACGTTAGCTTACCAGTTTCCGCCATCACAATTCTCTCGTCTTGAATCTCTGGTGGATATAGTGGAGCCAAGGGCACTGTCTACATGGGAGGTGCGATTGTACTCCAGGGACACACGAATTCTTGGAAATGAGGTAGGTACTGCCTCGGGGGGCCTCGTAGCCTGGTGGATAGCGCGCAGGACTCGTAATTCTGTGGCGCGGGTTCGATTCCCGCACGAGGCAGAAGCAAATGGGCAAAGTTTCTTTCACCCTGAATGCCCCTGTTACCTAGCAGTAAATAGGTACCTGGGTGTTAGTCAGCTGTCACGGGCTGCTTCCTGGGGGTGGAGGCCTGGTCGAGGACCGGGCCGCGGGGACACTAAAAGCCCCGAAATCATCTCAAGATAACCTCAAGATAACTGCTGTAAATTGCCTTGCAGTTGCTGGTACAAATTCTTACCCCATTCAGGTTCAGAATTCATTTGATTTATGTTTTACTATTAGTATCTATTCTTGATTTTGCTTCTATTTGTTTATAACTTTGCTGTATTATATTTCTTTAGTACTATAATACTTCATTCACTTGTACAATACTGGATGTGTTTGTTGAGATTATCATAGGCTACAATTTGGTAAGACCAAAACTAGACTTGGCTGTTGCATCCTGTAGTGATTGAATCAAGGAAACAGTGCCTTGGCTGGAAATTTTCCCTGCCCTTGTGCCTAGAATAACCTTTATAAGACTCACCCAGGTCCTCTGATGTTCAAAACAGACACCAGGATTTGGTAAATGTTCCATGTCTCATCACCTCTATGGAGGTCTTTACTTATCCAGTCTATTTCTCTGTGATTGAAATTCCCAAGTATTAACATTCTGGGTTTCACTCCCTTTGACACCATGGCTGCATTTTGTATTAATGTCAGGCAAGTCTAATTGCATTTATTATATTCTTCCCTAGGACTTCTGTTGTTTAGTGGGAGATTGTAAATCACCATGTCTTCATGCTCCTCTATGTTGCTATTCTAAGTACATACTCTTGCTGATCAGATTCCTCTGACACTCACTTCCTCGAAGCTCCAATGTAGTTGTAGCAGCTGGACTACACTATCTCCTCCCCTTCTCACCCTATCTTTATTTATTACTTGAAATCTTTGCGGGAAGATTTTATTTCCTATAACACTCGTCAGTTTCGTTTCTGTTATTGCAATACAGTATGTATTGCTCTTCCATTCTTTCACTCTTTCCTGTAACTCTACCCCTTATTTGTAATTCCTGATTATCAATTCCTGTAATCCCTAATTTGATTTCAATTTTGAATTAATTTCCTAATTCATTATATCAGGGGACAGGTAGCCAGGGTGTATTCATATGCATTAGGCTTATATTGAACCCCCCCCCCAAGGTCAAATTACTGACCTGCCCAGGATGTAACCCCACAACAAGCTGATTAACTCCTGAGTACCTACTTACTGTTAAGTGAACAGGTGCATTAGGTGAAAGTAAATGCACCCAACCATTTCTGTCCCATCCGGGATTTAAATCCGTAATTCTTGCTTGGAAGTCTAGAACGAACCCGACTGTACTATCAGGACCCTAAATGTGGGAGGGAGGATGAGGGAAAGGGTGACAAGTGAGAGGGAAGATGAGGGGAAGGATGGCAAGGGAAAGGGAGGATTAGGGGAAGGAAGGCAAGGGAGAGGGAGGATGAGGGGAAGAGCGGCAAGGGAGAGGGAGGATGAGGGGAAGGGTGGCAACGAAGAGGGAGGATTAGGGGAAGTGTAGCAAGGGAAAGGGAGGATGAGGGGAAGGGTGACAAGGGAGAGGGAGGGAGGGCAAGAGAAAGAGAGGATGAGGGGAAGGGTGGCAAGGGAAAGGGAGGATGAGGGGAAGGATGGCAAGGAAGAGGGAGGATGAGGGGAAGAGTGGCAAGGGAGAATGAGGATGAGGGGAAGGATGGCAAGGAAGAGGGAGGATGAGGGGAAGGGTGGCAAGAGAGAGGGGGATGAGGGGAAGGGGGTGGGACAGGAGGGGGGGGAATTGAAATAAGTTTATTGAGGTATACATACACACAAAGGGATGAAGCAGCTCAAGCTGTTCTCACCCCGTTCAGTGGGGGGGGGGGAGACAAGAGGGAGTGGGGAGGACGTAGATGGAGTGGATAGATAGATGGATGCATAGGTAGATGAATGGATAGACGATTACAGATGGATAGATAGATGGGTAGATGACTAGATAGATGAGTAGATGGAAGGATTGATAGGCGGATAAATAGACGGATAGAGGGATTGATAGATGGATAGATAGATAGAAATATGGATGGATAGGTGAATGAATAGAAATATGGATGGATAAGTGAATGGATAGAAATATGGATGGATAGATAGAAATGTGGATGTCCATATATCCACAGTGATGTGATATGTGGATAGATGGACGTGGATGGATGTGTGGACAGACTGCTGGATGGATAGATAGACATATAGATAGATGGAAAGATGAGTAAATGGATGGATAGATGTATAGAGGGTAAATAGACGGGTATTTGAACACATACAAATGTGTTGTGTTATTTATAATTGGCGACGCGACCCCCTGCACTCAATACCCCCCCCCCCACATCCCCAGACAGCCATCACCCCCTCCCCCTCCTGCCCCCCCCCCCTCCCCCTCCTGCCCCCCCCCTCCTCCCGCCACATCCCCATACAGCCATCACCCCTCCTGACCCCCCCCTTCCCCCCACACCCCTAGAGAGCCATCACCCCATACCCCCTCCGGCCCCCCCCCCCCTTCCCCAGACAGCCATCACCCCACCACAATTGTGAGCCAGGGGACCCGCCCCCACGTGTCTCAGTCGTGTCATCTCTGTAGTTCAAGGAGGACGCGTAAGGTCCGCCACTCCCCTAGTGACACCACTTTTTTTTTTCCCCCCATCCTTATTCTCCCTCTGTAGGCCTACCTACTACACCCTGATATACTTGCGTATGTTGGCACACACACGACAGTACCCCCTGGCCTTCTGCTGACTCCCGACCCCCACTCCCCCACTCCTGACACCCACTCCCCACTCCCACTCCCGACACCCACTCCCCACACCCACTCCCCACACCCACTCCCCACACCCACTCCCCACACCCCACACCCCACTCCCGACACCCACTCCCCACTCCCGACATCCACTCCCCACACCCACTCCCCACACCCACTCCACACTCCCCACTCCCGACACCCACTCTCGACACCCACTCCCCACACCCACTCCCCACACCCACTCCCCACACCCACTCCCCACACCCACTCTCCACTCCCGACACCCACTCTCGACACCCACTCCCCACACCCACTCCCCACACCCACTCCCCACACCCACTCCCCACACCCACTCCCCACACCCACTCCCCACTCCCGACACCCACTCCCCACTCCCGACACCCACTCCCCACTCCCGACACTCACTCCCCACTCCCGACACCCACTCTCGACACCCACTCCCCACACCCACTCAACACTCCCCGACACCCATTCCCCACTCCCCGACACCCACACCCACTCCCCACTCCCGACACCCACTCTCGACACCCACTCCCCGACACCCATTCCCCACTCCCCGACACCCATTCCCCACTCCCCGACACCCACACCCACTCCTGACACCCACACCCACTCCCAGACACCCACACCCACTCCCCGACACCCACACCCACTCCCCGACACCCACACCCACTCCTGACACCCACACCCACTCCCCGACACCCACACCCACTCCCCGACACCCACACCCACTCCCCGACACCCACACCCACTCCCCGACACCCACTCCCCGACACCCACACCCACTCCCCGACACCCACACCCACTCCCCGACACCCACACCCACTCCCCGACACCCACACCCACTCCCCGACACCCACACCCACTCCTGACACCCACACCCACTCCTGACACCCACACCCACTCCCAGACACCCACACCCACTCCCCGACACCCACTCCCCGACACCCACACCCACTCCTGACACCCACACCCATTCCTGACACCCACACTCACTCCCAGACACCCACACCCACTCCCAGACACCCACACCCACTCCCCGACACCCACACCCACTCCCCGACACCCACACCCACTCCTGACACCCACATCCACTCCCAGACACCCACACCCACTCCCCGACACCCACACCCACTCCCCAACACACACACCCACTCCTGACACCCACACCCATTCCTGACACCCACACCCACTCCCAGACACCCACACCCACTCCCTGACACCCACACCCACTTCCCACACCCACCCCCAACACCCACTCCCTACACTCACTCCCCACACCCACCCCCGACACCCACACCCACTCCCCACACCCACCCCCGACACCCACACCCACTCCCTACACCCACTCCCCACACCCACTCCCGACACCCACACCCACTCCCCGACACCCACACCCACTCCCTACACCCACTCCCCACACCCACCCCCGACATCCACTCCCTAGACTCACTCCCCAACACCCACCCCCGACACCCACCCCCGACACCCACACCCAACACCCACACCCGACACCCACTCCCTACACCCACTCCCCACACCCACTCCCCGACACCCACACCCACTCCTGACACCCACACCCACTCCTGACACCCACACCCACTCCCGACACCCACACCCACTCCCGACACCCACACCCACTCCCGACACCCACACCCACTCCTGACACCCACACCCACTCCTGACACCCACACTCCTGACACCCACACCCACTCCTGACACCCACTCCCGACACCCACACCCACTCCCGACACCCACACCCACTCCCGACACCCACACCCACTCCCGACACCCACACCCACTCCCGACACCCACACCCACTCCTGACACCCACTCTCCGACACCCACACCCACCTCCAACACCCACCCCCCGACACCCACTCCCAACACCCACTCCCCACACCCACACCCACCCCCAACACCTACTCCCCACACCCACTCCCCAACACCCACTCCCCAACACCCACTCCCCGACACCCACACCCCGACACCCACACCCCACTCCCGACACTCACTCCCCACACCCACTCCCCGACACCCACACCCACACCCATAATTCAATGACTTAATTCATGTCCTTTTTTCATATTTACATTAAAATTTTGAATCGAATTAGCTTCGTCAATTTCTAGGTCTTACCTATTCCATTTATTTGTATGTAAAAGGTTTCCTTCTTTGTTCAATACCCTTTAACCATTTTGAGTCCTATAATGCTTAATGGTAAATATAACAAAAAAAATGTTAGCAATGTAAATATAAACAAGAAAACGTGGGCTCACGTGAGCTTTTTCTCAAACGTGAGAATAAAAGGACAGAACACATTTTTGGTTGTACTGTGAGTTCGGCGCTGAACCAGATATTTGGGTCATCCGGCCAGAATTGTGTCTGGTGACAATTTTGCCACATCTGGACAGAAATCCAGGCAGCCGGAGAGTAGTTTAGGTAAATTTTCGAAAGGTACACATTTCAAGATCCACAGTAATAAACACGAAGACAGACTAAAATTAGGTAAGCTGAAGTTTCTGTTGTAAATTACATCGTTGATATATAGTGTGTGTAGAAATAATAATGATGTTGGTTGTGGTACAAAAAATTGACAATATAATAATAATTATAATAATAATAATGATGATAATTCATTGTGTTGGGGAACAAGTAGATAGTTTATACATACAGTACATGTTAGGCTTATATCAAGTACACGTACTGTACTGTACAGTTACGAAAACATTTGCTGTAATGAAAAGATTAGTAAAATGTACTTCAAAGAGAGCATTTTAAGTACTGTACAGTATACCAATGCAAAGTTAATATACTGCATGTACAGTACAGAATAAATGTGTGGATTGGAATAACTAATGTTGTAGAATAGAACCTGCTTAATTAATTTTACTGGTGGCATGTAGGTACTAGGTACAGCTGTTCAATTGGAGATTAAAAACCACAGTTATTGAATAAAGTCTTAATAACTGTGGTCTTTAATTTCATTAGTTTTTTAATACTTTTAAGAATCTTGAATCAAATACAGTATACATTTAGTTTAGTACAAAATGATTAAATGATTGGTAAGAAATATGTACGTCCTGTTATTTGCATTATCAGGTATGATATCACTCTTACCAAGATAAGCAATCTATTTCTAATATCACTGTTACTCATACGTTTCACTTCACACACATTCATACTTTCATACTGTGAGTTGATTCCTTTGTTTTAACAGTTGACATTTTTCTTTATGGAAACACAGAATCGGAATATATTCTCGCACCCTCTCCTCAGGTGCACAAGGTCTTATATTCGCACGTTCCACGAGATCCCGATGAGCTCGAACTATTAATTGGAGATTTTGTGTATGTTAAAGGAGATTGTCTTGCGTCCTCACCTGATGGTTGGGTTGAAGGAACATCTTGGCTCACAGGTTCAACAGGATTTTTACCAATTAATTACATAGAACGCACAGCTGAGTCAGATGCTTGGACACTTCATAGGTGAGTGGTTATGGGTTTTTTAAATTTATATAAAATGTTTTTGTTATATTCAAGGTACTGGTTTAGGAAGAAGTAGCCTATTTTAGCTGTTTATATTTATTATTAGGTATCTCTGATCGGGATTTCTTATGGTTTTGTCATGTTTATCTGTTATACAGGCATGGTAAAAGATAGGCCTCTTGCACAGTGGTCAGTGCAGTTGCTTCACAGCCAAAATGTGACATGTTTGATTTCTGCAGCTGGACAAAGAGTTTTAGGCACTTTTGCTTTCACTTGATGCCTCTGTTCATCTAGTAAAGTAGGCACCCTGGAATTAGACAACGTTTGTGGGTTGCATCTTGGGGAGGGCAGTAGTTGACTAAGGAAAACTTCAATGAACCTAAACAGGCTTCCTGTCTCCGATAATGGGAAATAAATACAGTTATGTATGATTTATAGGTTTACTGATGCCAGAAATTTTACCATAATACCTAGGATGTATACTCTAATATTATAGTATTTAAAGACCAATATGTACTGTATTCCATTACCTGTACTTAATATTTTGTTAGGTGTTAGAATGATCACAGATTAATAATATATTAGTAACATTCAGTTACTGTTTTTTAATAATCATAACATTAGCATTCTTATAGAGTTCACTAAATGAAAAAGTGCTAAATAGTATCTCTAGTGGTAATTACTGGTTAATAACACTCAAATAAAAAATATATAGCAATTTGTATGGCTTTTAGTAGTGGTTTGTGGGCGAGATCCCATTCATACCTACTATGTTGACTTTCAGGTAATCAGATTACCTGAAAACAGGTAATCAACAGGTAATCATCACATGGTTCTATTCAAAGTTTCAGAGTACAAAATTTGTTGCATCACATTTATAATATCTTATAACTTAGGTTGAGAGGTGAGACTAATGAAATGAAGTTCAACATCCACAAGCACAATTAGGCAAGTGTCAGGCAAGAGGGCATGAAACATGGGCACAAGTGGGTGGGGCAATGGAAATAAAATGCCCTTTTCTGAGCAGTCCCTCCATGGCTCCCTGCTCTCTTCCCTTAATCTCTTTTCCCAAGATTACGGCAGACTGAGCTTAAGATGAGGTAGTCAACTCTCCCGATCCTTGGGTTCAATAGGCCTGCCACCTGATGGTGACTGAGGTAGTAGTTGGAGTGAGTTCATTAATTCAAAATGATTTGGTGATGCTGGATTTAAGATCATTGTTTATAGGGAATGTTTAGTATTTGAAGGGTTTTTGTGTGTCATTGTGAACAGTTCCTTCTGTAGGGATGATAATATTCTCTTCCATGAGCTCCTCAAACCATTATTGGGGAGCCTACTGTAATCTCAGTACCTGGTCAGATCCATGCATTGGACTAAGATCGATAGCTACCAAGGTGTTGCTCAGAAAGGGGCATTTAAATTTTTGTTTTTACTACAGTATTGTCGAGATTACTGTATCATATTTTTACAGAGTTAAATTGTTGTCTACTGTGTGTTTTTGTGTCTTCACATCCTCAACAGAGCCATTCCAGTCATAGGCAGTACTGGCCGAGAAGGACTTGAAACTGCAGCATTCCCTCGCCGCCCACCAATCTCCTTGTCATTGTTAAACCTTTTAGAAAATAGCGAGGGCTCCCGACGCTCGACAGAAGTTCTCTCAGAATCATCATCTATGGATCGCCTACATTCACGTCAAGCATCACTAGAGGCCACACAGTCACCTCCTCTTCCTCAGCAGGAAGTCTTAGATGCCTTATATGCCAAGGTTAGTTACATTTGTTTAAATATTTTGTTACATTAACTCTTTAATGTTAAGGAAAATGATAGTAGGAAAGACAGGGAATACCAATTACAGTAATGCCCAAAATGCTGTGCTTAGCAAGTGGCCTTATATAATGTACAATTTCTTTAACATTATGTAGCCGCTTCATTTTGTCCAGTGTACAGTCTGTTATATGAATAAAACATTATTACAATACAGTATATTATTATTATTGTGTGTAACCATGAAGGACTTTTTGTACCACAGTACAAAGGGCTTGTTTGCGATATTCAAATTTGAAAGAGCAAAGGTGGCAATTGTGATTGCATATGCTCCATGTGCTTTTTGAAATGAGAATGGAAAAATTAATACTCTTGAGCAAGCCTCCCTCATTATCCTTCCTATTCTTCATGTCATTGGCCTTTCATAGAACACACAACTTGTGTCAGGCTCTGAGAGACCTAATACTACAGTAGATAAGTACCCTATTCAAACTCTTTTGTTCCCCTTCTAAGAAGCATGACATTCTGTGAAGAGCAAGTCTCAATCCACCACAAGGTATCTGATTGCCAGAAACACTTAAAATTTACTTGAAATTACCTCCAAATGATTCATGACAATTAAAAAATAACCAAAAGTCATTCTGAAACTTGTGAAGAGACAAACCCAGCTCCACTGGCTGGCAATGCTACCATACAAGGAAGGTGGTAGAGGTGACAAGCCCTCATTTTACTGCCTCCTCTTTTCAGTCTCAGTTTTTTAATTTTAGTGAATTTGTCATTACTTATTAAGTTGATAGTTCTCCAAGACATGGGGCTGTCCCTTCCTCACCCCCTCAGAGTGATTCTCATGTGGTGTTAACACCCTAACTGTGTTGGACCGGAGTGACTCATTATATGATCCACAAATTAAAGTAAACATGTACTATACTTTTCTTCGTTCATTCTGTCACCTTTCTCTTACATACATAATGTACAATTTCAGGTGAAGAAGCCAAAAAAGGAGGGGCCTCTCTATAAATTTCCAATTGATGGACCACGCAAAATTATTATTGCCAGACATGGTGAAAGAGTAGATTTCACCTTTGGTGATTGGATTCGCTTCTGTTTTGATGAGACAGGTATGTTTCTTGTTATAATCAAATTAAAATGTATAATATGTTCAAACTAACATATTTTTATTATTTCCAAACTAGACCACATGGTTGTTTTCTCAGAGAAGGTCCTATAGGTCTCATAGGCAGGATCATGTGTAGTCAGGGATATCAGTGATTACCTATTGGTATTTATGACACATGATACCTAAATCTATTTGAACCTCCTCCTTATGCCTGGTACTTATAAAATTATTGTAATTTTTATTTCATTGCACGTTTACTATTGAAGGTATGGATGAAGACATTAACTGCTACTTTTTTCAGTGCAGTCCACTAGTGGAGAATTCTCAATGAATAAGTGTTTTCTTTAGACTTTTACCTTTTTCATTTCCATCTTCCACTTTTGCTTTTCCCTCAGTTAAAGGAATATAGGCAAAGGCTCTTTTTATCAGTCATGTGTATTTCCCTTAATAATTTATTCATATTGATAGTATTTCCTCTAGCTGTTCTTACTCCTACACTTGTTAGATTGCATTCCCTTAACCTTTCTTTGCAGCTTGACAAAGTGAACAGAAATTGGCATTAAACAGAAATTTGCTGAATGGCAATATATTTATAGAGCAAGTAATACATATGCAGATATACTGTTTTAGTTACACTGTACAGTATCTCCATTCCTTCTAGTATTCTGTACTCTAAGGGGAATTGGTAAAATATGCAGCTCGTAAACATTTGTTATTTTCTGTCATTCCCTATCACCTAATGCACCTATTCATCTAAAAGTAAATAGGTAACAAGGTGTTATTCAGCTTGTTGTGGGGTTGCATCTTGGGGAGGGTCAATAGTTCAACCACCGAGGAAACCTCGATATAGGCCTAACATGTATATATACACTGGTTGCCTATTCCCCAACATAATGAGTTATTATTATAATTATTATATATTCACAGGCTTCCTGTCCCCAACAAAAGGAATTATTATAGCCTATCACACGTGCACTAGACATGTACATATTTGGGATTGTCAACAAATAATTTTATTGTCATTATCTTTATGCAGGAAACTATCAACGACGTGATCTTAACATGCCCGAGACGCTCCCTCAACGTAAAGGGGCACCCCACAGTTTCTATAAGGACTGTCCTCTTACAAACATTGGCTTATTGCAAGCAACACTTGTAGGACAAGCTATGAAAGCAAATGAAACGGAGGTGCACCATGTTTTTTGTTCGCCTTCATTACGCTGTGTTCAAACATGTACCAATATACTTAAAGGTAGGTTAAAACACATTATCCTTACACTTTCTATATTGAGGGAATAAACTGATGATTGCTTATGTCTTTTACATTTTCTATAATGCACCAATATTTTGCTACATAAAATATTTATACAGTAAATGCTGTACTTACGTAAAATGCGTACTGTACAGCAATTATGCTCTTAAAAATGGCATTTTATATAAAATTGCTCTGTATAAAATGAAAACCTTTAGGAATAAAGGGTAATATTCCCAGATATCACAAATTAGTACAATAAAGGAATTTTCTGTTTTAAAACGTGAATGTTTACTAGTTTCTCCCCACCTCAGGCTTCTTACCCCTTGTGTCCCATTTATTTTCATCATTTCATCACATGTTAATCAGGCTGGCACTTAATAATAGGTAATATAGGATAGGAAAGCTGCCAAGAGACACAAGCTCACAAAAATAGCCATGCCATACTGTTGGTCTTGTACTTTCACAAAATCATGATGAGAAAACAGATTCTTTCTTCACTAGCCACATGCAGTGAAGAGGCTGTTTTTATACATGTTGTAACACTATACATTATTGTATTTATATTTACATGATACACAAATTAATGTAGCATCACTAATGGTATAAGCTCTATGGCACCAATTCCATCTACCTTTGTGTTTAATCCTGTACGGCTTCAATATTTTCTCATAGATACATCACGGTCTTGGGATTTTATTGTGTATAGGTATAATATAAGAATGATACAAAAGAGCTACTTTAAATATTATTTACATTTTCTTTACTCTGGCAGGCTTAGGTATTGCTGAGCAAATGCCAATCAACATTGAACCTGGGCTTTTTGAGTGGTTGGCTTGGTACCATGATGGAATGCCTATATGGATGACTCTTGATGAGTTAACTGATTCAGGATTCAATATCAGCCTTAATTATGATCCTCTGATTCGGAAAGAGGAACTGAAGGATACCCACGAGAGTTGTGAACAGTATTACGGTAGAAATGCTTACGTTACACAGAGTATTATCAATACAACCCAGGCACAAGGTATGCTCTGCTTTAAGAATATTGTGTAAATGTTTTATACATCATTAGTGAATGTAAACATTTAGGGATCTCCATCAAAGGGTACATTCAAGTGTTTTTATTAATTTTTAGGAATACTCTGGTATGTCAAGAATGATCCATTGAATTACTGTACTTTCAGATTTGAAACATGCATGCATGCATGCATACATAAATGCATGCATACATACATACATATCCAACATGATTAAATTTGCTTTTTAAATATTTTAAATATTAATGTTTTTAAATATTTTATTTTTAAATATAAATAAATATTAGATTAAATATTTTATGTTTTTACTCTGAGGTTTAATCCTTATTTAATCCTTATATATTTATTTATATTTATTTAGTCTCCTGATAAGGTGTTTACCAATTTAGTTTGTACAGTATTGACTGCATCTATGTCATATACAAATGTACAGGAAAGGGATAAAGTATGCTATGATGTTGAGAAGACAAACAATATGAGGGAAAACCAAGGACATAAGAGTAATGAAACAATCAGTAGTTAAGTTTCATTTTAGATGCCTAAAGGCTATTCAGTCATACCTGCTAAACGTGCTGCATGCTCAATGTATGTCACTATTTTTTATTTATATGGTCACTTAAGAGATTCATCAAAGTCTTGTATATCCACCCATTAAAGTTACACACTTGCAAGGTTATCATGTTTCAAGTTTTCATAATTCACAATTTTAAAGTGCATATGCTGCTGCCACTTTAGTTGTTAGAAGTAGGGTTTGGTTATTTCACGGTAAACGTGTTCTAATTGCCTACGTTTTCTTTGATCTTTCAACTCGACATCAAATTACTGAATAGTTATATTTAATGTATCTATCTACTCATTTTTTATTTCATGTACAAGAAAGACATTTTTGTACAGTACAAGTAAAATAGTTAGCCTCTTAATTTTTGCAGGTGGTACAGTGTTGCTTGTAGGACACGCTGCTACATTAGACACGTGCACGAGACAGTTAGTTGGAGGAACGCCAAGATCAGCTCATGAGATGACTGCTATCATTAAGAAGGTCAGTTTAAAGCCCTCATCAGTCTGTTTACTGTAAATCTCTTGCTCTGTTTTAAGAAAGTATTGTGTGAGCTTCCCATGTTCGCATTGTTAACTCTGCTGTGGAAATAGTATATATTTGTCATTTAGAAAAATATGCTTATTGCACCATTCCTGTCTTTGTAATTTCTTATCTTTAGCTACATCCTCAAATATTATTTGGTTTACATTTTCTCACTAAAGTTCTTCATTACTGTATAACCATTGTAATTAATTTTTGGAGAGAAGCCCATTGGTGGTTTCCTGAAACTATCTCGTTGAGATGGCTCCCCACTATTGGATCACATCAGTCGCAGGAGTACTGTTTGGCCTAATTCACACCAGAGCCAGAACCTGGGGGCCCCCTTTTCATTCACAAAGGTGCAGAGAGCAGGAAAAAATTATAATTTTCACCAGGGAAAGCATCCAGAAAGTTGACGAATCTTTACAGGCAACAGCAAGGGTCATAGGAAATGAAACATCAAGATAATCCAATGATTCGGCAAATAATTTATTCATAACAAGGCATTCACTTGTAACTAGCTCAAAGATGTTGGTACCAATGGCCACCACCAGGCAGCCTTGCAACCCTGTTGGCCAGCTGCAAGGTCAGCTTTGCTTGCTATCATTGATTCACCTAGTTTTGCTCATCAGGTCGCCAAGTCACATTGAGTACCTATGCTTCTGAGCTTAGTGCTCAGAAGCATTTCTGAGTACTAGTACAGAGTACTAAGTACTCTAAGTACATTTTTGAGTACAGAGTACTGAGTACACTGGCTTCTTTTTTTGTTCTTGAGTACTGTATTTGCTTCATTAACATGCATTTAGGTCCCAGATTCATCCTGGCTGGCAGACAAACCACTCATCCCTAAGGGTTTGGCATGGGTTCTATCGAATGCGAACACTTAATTGGCAAGACGTGGGTTTTGTCTTTCAGGCATTCTCGGGCAGTACTCCTTATTCACCACTCAAGGACTGTTTGCTTGCTTTGGTGCTTCTCAAGGACATGGGGGCAAGTAGCAACTCCATGTGCTTCTGTGCTGTGTGTGCTTGCAGTGCCTGTGCTCTGTGGAGCCCTTATTGCAGAGGACCACAGGGCACATACCACTTGGTGACAGTCATGTGTTTTTGGGCTGTCAGAGTTTTTTATTGACAAGCTTTGTGAAGGCATGGATTTGCTTGCTTTGGTCTTGGGTGTGGAGGCCCTCTTGCCTGCAGTTCTGGCTTTGGGGGCCTTGCCCAAGTTATTTACCCCTCTCATTTGGGAGTTGATGGCAGCATTTTACTTGGCTCATCTCACATGTTGACATGCGGTGTTGGCCCAGGCTTCAGATTCAGCCTGGTCGTTAATTTTTTTTTACTGAATTCCCTTTTTTGCCTTTGTTCTTTCCTGAGAACATTGTTGCTCACATTCTTTTCACTGCTGTGGTGGGCTGTTATCCCATTAATTGGATGTTATTCCACTGGGGTTTTGCCACTTGGAGGTATCCCATAGGCTAGGGCTTGTGCATCCTTTGGAAGTAACCTCTTCTGCTTGATGTCGCCATTCCATGTCATGGAATAATGGTTTTGCTTGTGGTTCTACATGCTGGCCTTTTTGTGGTTCACCCACTTTGATGGTAATATGGGGAAAGAGTATCTAGCCCATTTTGCCAGCTCTTGGTTCTATGATTTGGCAGTCTTTTGGGTTGTCTTCCTTAGCCTTTGGTAGAGTCTGTCAGACCCCCCATCCCCTCTGCTGAGTTTGGGTCTGTAAGATCAGGAGTCTTTTCCTCAGCTGCATGTGGTCATTACAACATGGATTCAGGCGTGATTAAAATGACTTTGTCTTTTTTGTGGATGTCCTGGTTGTTCTCAGTCTCTAAGTGGGACTTGGCAAACCTACAGTACATTCTTGATTTTTGGGACAGAACAGTTTCATTCCCTGTCTGACTTTCCACATGACCACTTTGACTCCAGTTCATCTGGCATTGCAGGCAGATTCTTGGATGGTGTCCCTGGACCTCAAGGATGTGTACTGGCATGTCCCAATTCATCTGAGGTTCTGGGGCTGGTTAGATTTTGTTATGAGTCATCAATCATGCCACTTCAAAGTCATGCCCTTTGGCTCGAATCTGAATCCTTGAATTTCTACTAAGTATGGGTAGTGGTGACCTGGCTGCATCTCTTAGTTGTTTATGTGTTGATTTACCTCAATAACTGGTTGGTTTGGGCCCCCCTACCCCATCCAGTTCACTTTTAAAAATGACCAGATATCTGGTTCTTTCCCAGTTTACCAAGTTTAGGTTCCTGGTGAATTGGCAGAAGTCCAAGTTGGTTCTGTCACAGGTTTGGACCTGGTTTGGCCTTGTTTGAGATTCCCAGTCAGGCATGTCTTTCCCTGCCTCCTCCTGCTCTGCTCTCCATGCATCATCATCACTGTCTGGTGTTGGTTGGCCTTGGGTGACTCATCGGTTGATCTAGCAGTTGTGCGAGATCCTAAACTATGCCTGTTTTGCCTCTGCTGGGACCATCAGGTTCAGGACCCCTCTTAACACTTGTCAGTTCTTGCTTTGTGGTCTTCTTCCTTTGTGGTAAGTTCCTTGTTTGCCTTATCCTCTGTGGTTAGTTATTTTCAGGGACCCACCATCTCTTATTTGATCAAGCACCTGCTGTCGTTCTACCTCCCTTGGTAAGTTCCTCGTTTGCCTTATCCTCTGTGGTAGTTAGCTTTAGGAACCCAACAAGAGACTCTTTCCAGAAAACCAGCATTAAATTCAATGAAACACCACTTTTTGATAGAGCCCTGATCAAGCTCTTTGATTCCCTTCCCCCTTACCACGTTAATTGGTTTGTCGGGCATCAGTTCTGGATCGACCATGGATCCAGCTATTGGCCAGGGCTCCTGGTCGCCTAGCGGTGGCCATTGGTACTAGCGGATTCGAGCTAGTTGTTTTGAATGAATCATTTGCAAAATCATTTTCATTTGAGTCATTCTTGTCGGTTTGGTTTCACTTCCTATGAACCTTGCAGTTATCTGTAAAGCTTTGCGGACTATTTGGATACTTTTTCGGTGAGGGTGACAATATTTGTCCCATGCTCTCTGTGCCTCTGTGAGGAGCCAAGTTCTTGCTCTGGGTCCCGTCTCAAATAGGGAAAATGTAGTTATGATCCCCATGAAATGCTTGGGGTGTAGACCTCCTCTTCTCAATAGTGGGCACTCCTGGCCTCATCTAAATCACAACTTTATTCTGTGTTGGGATATAGTAAAGGTCAGCAGTAAACAGCACCAGTTTACTGGGGTAAACTTATCACACATAACAACAGCTGTTTACAACATTATTTACAACACATTAAAATTAATAACATTGGCACTTGTCACTGAAGCTAGTTGCTACTAAGTTAAATAGGTCAAGCTTAAGGTATTAGAAACTGAACAGCATTGGTGTACTAGATTTACTAGAGGCTGTAAAGTTAAACTAGTCACTAGCTTAGTTTCCTTAAAACTTAGGAACATTGGTACACTAGATGGCAGTTGAAGTGCATCAAAGTTGATGTGGTTAAGTTGTACTCATTGTGACATTATCCAACTTTAAAGTCCCTAAAGACTATCAAAATCAAAGTCTTTCTAGACTCGACCAAGTTAAAGTACTCAGCATACCTGCATATAAACCTTCTTGTATTGTCAATCTCCACTATCTCACAACCCATTCACCTGTTATTTGTGTTGCCTTCTGTTTCATCTGGATGTTCAGCTTTCTTCAAGCATATACTCCTTGCTCTTTGTCCCCCCTGTGTTTTGAAGAACTGCCCTTGTCAACCCTGTCTACACTTTAGAGTATTTTGTCTGTCCATAAATATCCCTTCTCCCTCTCACTCCTCCCTCCATCCCCCTCTCACTCTTCCCTCCATCCTCCTCTCACTCCTCCCCTTTCTCTTGCTCTATCTCTCCTTCCACCACCCCTCCCACCCCTTCCATCATTTTCACTGTATACTCTAATTCAGTTATATACTTTGCTATTATCTATTCTATTTTGTTTCTTCTTAATTGCAGTAACCTTGCCTTTAAACGACCTTTGACTGCCAATATTTTAGCTTAAGTATTTTATAATGATTCACACAATCATTTTAAATATTCTGTTACAGTACAGTATTTGAAAAGTATCTCAGCAAAAATATGCACCTGTATTTAGTACCTGTTAAACATCCTTAGATTAAAAATCTCTATTAGTTCTTCTTAGGCTCTCCACTTCGTTACTTCCCAATTCTTGATCCTACTGGCTGTGTTGATTAGATCGTGCTTAGTTAGAGCAGGTTCCACATTCTGCAGGGCTTCAAGAAAGTTGTACCTGCCAGGCCAATCAAAACTGTACAATTTATAATGATAACAACTACTAGCTATGCTGCTATTGTAACTCTTATGTAAATAATGTACCATAATTTCATGTAAACAGGCCCAATTATAAATGTACAACCATTTGTGAATAACATTTTTTATTTGATTCTTGTGCTATGGATACTCTGGGGAACTCTCAGTCTTGCCTAGAAAGACCTCTGGAAGGTTTATTCATGTACATCATCTTTGTGCAGTCAATGAGTCACAATAACGTGGCTGAAGATATGATGACCAACCCACACACTAGAAGAGGAAGAGACAATGATATTTCGGTCCGTTCTGGACCATTATCAAGTCGATTGTCACAATCACTTGATAATGGTCCAGGACGGACCAAAACATTGTCGTCTCCCCCATCTTCTGATGTGTGGTTTGGTCATTATATAATCTTTCTAAGTACTATATACGTTAAAGAGACCAACAAGCTGTATTATGCTTTTAATGGACATTTCATATGTATGTTCTCTCTTGAGTTTAAACTGACCAACTTGCTTGAGTTATCTGTTCTGCTGCTTGGTATGATAAGAACACGCAGAACGACAACTCCAGAAGGCATGTTGGCCAAGATGAGGTAGCAGCTCCTGTTTATATCCACCCCCCCTCCCCCC